TAACCAAAACCTGTCCCTCATAATGAGCATCAGTGGGAAGGTGTCTTTGAAGGCTTGACTTGCTGTAGATGAACCACCAGAGTTGACACAAGCCAAGCAAAGACTCCCACATCTCCTCTGTTCATACAGTCTGTATCTCTCATTGGTTCTTTGACGGCCTTCTAGCCACCCATATGTAAAATTGCATTGTACCTTAAAAGCAAAGATAGGAAGAACAGTGAGATAAACTTTCTTCCTGCTCTTGGCACAAACGTGTTTTAAATAAGCTATGTATGAGCTGTGTCTTTGGGAAGAACACGTGCAATGTAGTTTTTGATCTTCATTTTATAGATGTACATAAGTACTACAAGGCCTGTTTTGACTGTACAATTGAAAGCAAATGTGATCCAAATTTGTAGCACTCTGTGCCTAACAGGTTTGTAAATAACAGCTCTCGTTAAGCATGTGACATACTAAGCACCACAAGTTAATGGCTTTGGAGACCTGGAATGTCCTCATGTTTATTATGACTTTGGTCTGCTAGTATCTCATATTCCACTGTGGCCTCAGGATCTCTCATAAGCAGTCATACTGATAGGCTAAGGTTGTAATACATCATATGCTCTCAGGAAAAAAGCAGCCTAACCCATTTCTTTTGCAATGACTCTCAGTCACTTTCTGCCAAGTGCTTTATTTACTGCCTTAGTTTGGGTTCTATTGCTGTGAAGAGACACTATGACCAAGGTGACTCTTAAATAGTTTTTTTTTTTAAAAGATTTATTTTATTTTACTTATGAGTACACTGTAGCTGTCTTCAGACACACCAGAAGAGGGCATCGAATCTCATTATGGATGGTTGTGAGCCACCATGTGGTTGCTGGGATTTGAACTCAGGACCTCTGGACGAGCAGTCAGTGCTCTTAACCGCTGAGCCATCTCTCCAGCCCCCGACCAAGGTGACTCTTATAAGAGAAAACATTTTATTAGGCCTGGTTTACAGGTTCAGAGGTTTAGTCCATTATCATCATGGCAGGAAGCATGGCAGTGTGCAGGCAGACATGGTGCTGGAGGAGCTGAGAGTTCTACATCTTGATCTGAAAACAGCCAGAAGACTGGAATTCCACACTAGGTGAAGCTTGAGTATAGAAGACCTCAAGGCCTCCCCCCATAGTAGCACATGTCCTCCAACAAGACCACACCCACTCCAACAAGGCCACACCCACTCCAACAAGGCCACACCTACTAATAGAGCCACTCTCTACAGGACAAGCATCCAAACATATGAATCTATGGGAGTCAAAACTATTCAAACCACCACACTTAGAAATTAGCAAGTATCTTTAATAAAAGTATTGCTTATGAATTATGGCTTCCAGGACTGGAGAACTGGTAGAACACTAGTTAGCCGTCCTGGCTAATCTTCCAAAAGATCTGATTTGATTCTCTAATTTTTGCTCTGAAACAGCAAACCAAACTAATACAAGCCAGAAACACATAAAATTGACAGTTCGAGTAGTCAAAGACAAGACATGAAAAATACCTTTCACAAAAGAAGTTATTCCTTTTTGAAGTTTTGAAATCTGTGCGTCATACTTTGAAAAAGGAAACTTCAATCAACAATCAAATCAAGCCAGAGAGGCAGTATCCGCTTGAGACTTCCTCACATTCTCCTTCCCACGTTCTGTATGCGACTCTTCCTATTGTCCCAAGGGACAATCCTAGTAGATTTTTTAAAACAACTTTTCCTTAGAGGACATGGCATAGAAGGCCTGCAGAATCCATGCTGGCTATTGGGACCTTAAGGAATACTTTCAGGATCCAGAACTCTGGGCTATTAATAGTCAGCATAGTTCAACTGAATTTAAGTAAAATTTTACTGCAGATGTCACAGGGTATCCACAGAATTAAAATAAGAGGTAAATATACAAAAGTAGTCTATATATAACTAAGTTTTAAGAAATCTTTATTGCAGATTCATATACACAGCGCCAGTATTCTCTTCCCTTTCTTGCTTCCAATCTCCCTGATGAGTAAAACCTAAGAATTATCAAGCCTACCCATGGGCAGATCTCACCTTCAGTATCTATGACTAGAGGAATCCAGGCTATTTCACCTCCTCTTCTTCCTCCTCCTCGCCTTCCTCCTCCTCTTCCTCTTCCTCTTCTTCCTCTTCTTCCTCCTCCTCCCTGTCCGCCTCATCCTTCCCTTCCTCCTCTTTCTATTTTGCCACAGAAGATTGGCTTCCTCTGAATAACAGAAACATGTCTACTGTTTATTTGCTGGTTATATGTTGTAGAGCTTTAACCAAACCAAAGCAAGATGGCTTTTCATTACCAACTTCTAACTCCTAAAGAAAAGCTCAAATAGGACTAGCTTGCATTGTATTAAAGAATTAGAATATGCTTTGGGTCCATTTGAACAAGGTGTCCGATCAACCCCCACCTCCCAGCTGTCTCATACTGTGTTAATAAGTTGGTTCCCATGATTTAAACAGACTGGGTGTGGTAGCTCCCTGTGGAAGCAGTGCTGGCATGACCATCGGTACATGGCTACTGCTGCATGGATAGTCCATCCAAACAATGGAGGGAAGTGGATGATTCCAGAGTCCCATTTACCAGCCAAAGCTACCTAGAATCCCTTAGAACATCCGGTTAAAACTGTTTGTGTGTTGCATAAAGTTCAGGATGGTGGGACAAGGTTACTATACATAAAAGGAGCTTAGCAGAGAGAGAAGGAGGACACAGCCATGGAACATCGCCAACATGAAGCAGAGGGTCCTGGACCTCCTGGATCTTTACACATTAAACCCTTATGTTTCTCCCAGCTGCCTCTCTGTTCCTCCTGCCTTACACCTCTTTTTAATATTTTCTTCCAAATGAAGTCCTTGTGTGTTACTTATGAGTCAGTCCTCTTCTAGAGAAGCCATGCTGTACTTAAAACAAACATTTAAAATAAGGCAAAGATTCTTGTATCCCATTGTAATTTTCTTGGGATCACAGAATCTGATGATTGAAAAAGGCCAACCTTGAGAATCATCACACCCACCCATTGCCAAATCTCACCTCTGGTATCCATAACAAGAGGAATCTAGGCTGTTTGACCATATGTTAAAGTAGAACCTACCACTTTTCAGGAAAAGCCATCTTTGGACTGCTGTTCCTATTAGAAGTGCTACTTTCAAGAACCTCCAGCTGGCTGAGATCTGTCTTCCTTTGTTGCCTCCGTCTCTTGGTGCCAGTTCTTCCACCTGGTAACAGAGGGTTCCAGTAGCTTCCCACCGTCCCTGTCAAGTGAGCCACTCTGTTCACTGCATTTCTGCTTAAGATCATTGTCTCGGTTCAGCATCTTTTCAAACTGTCCGCTACTTATGTAATGTAGGACATCAAGTCCACCATTACCCTGAATATGCTCCTTTTAAAACTTTGCTTATGTGTTTCTCTTTCTTTTCCCCTCATATCTATTAATATTTTTTTCAGATATGGAAAGACCTACACAGAAAGAGCAATTCTAGACACTGCTTTCATGATAGCTATAGACCTTCTCTGCACAAAAATTACTTGTTCCTAGTAGGTAGGCCATGCCTGTAATCTCATGCTCAAGAGTGAAGAGCAATTTGGTTAAATTAGGTTTAAATGATTAGAAGGTATTTAAGTTTTACAAGTGTGTTCCTGGGAGGAGGAAGTATTGATGTGAAAAGTTATGTATTGGTAGTTAAAATTGGAATGAAATTGGATGTGGCAATTTACAAATTCTTATAATTCTTCAAACTGAGTTTTTTTTTTCCAGTACTAATACTCATATGCTCTATTAAGTCAGAGCCAGTGGGCAAAGTAAACCTCTATCAGGAGTCACACTTAACAAACTTTTGTTGTATGCACAAGAAGGACTCGAAGATCCCAAACAGCAATGCACCCTGGAGGAGCTAAGAATTTAGAAACTATAACTCAAACCTTTGCTCCCTCCTTAAATGTGTCACTTAAGCCAATGAATTGATAAACCAAGAGGTTACAGTGTTAACACAGCATGGTAGGTTAGCTGGAAGAGGCTCTTCATGTTTTGTTCTTTTCTAGAAGCATAAAGAAAACAGGCTCAATTTGAGGAAGTTGTAGTGAGGCTTGGAGTCGTTCAGAGGACCTTTCTGACCCATGTCAAATAGACATAGTAGATCTCACTCTTATCTGTAGCTACTTAGGGGCTCATCAAGAGGATGGGCTACTTCAGAAAATAGGACAGGATATTTTATTTCTATAATTGCATGGTGAATGGAAGGCATGGCATGTTAAGCTTCTTAGACAGTACAGTTTAAAATTTTGACTCCAAAAATACAAGAAAAAAAATAGTGAGTTTTAGTCAATCAGAAACATTTGACACCCATACATAATTTTGTCTAAATTTTTATTTTTGTCTAAATTAATTACCACAGGATCCTCAATGGTGACATGGAGAGACTCCAACTTCTCCTCTGCCAGTCTTCATCACCTTAGACCTAGTCCTCCCCAAACTTGCTCCCCTCCCACTATGGGAGTTAAAAAACACACATGACAAACTAAGGGTGGAATGGGAGACCTAACCTCACAGGCTCAGAACTAAGTAGTAAAATGAAAATTAAAGGTTAGGCTCCCTTGCTGACCTCACAAGGTTCAATCCACTATGTTTGGGTTTAACCCCAAAGCCATTTGGTTACCAAACTTAAGGGAACACATGGCCTCTGACAGCTTGAAGTGACCTACAACACAGAGGAAATAGAAACCACTTAGAGTGAGAAGGTCCTCCTGTCTATAGGTAGAGCTTCTGTCCACATTTCTCAGGTTACTCTGGACAATCCAGACCCAGAATCTCTTAGCCACCCTCTCAGTGTCCTAAGGGTGTAGTCACAGAATTCTTATTGCCACTCTAGAAATACAAACTTCATATTTGGTGTTCTGGATTGGATATTCATTTTCTTTGTTCATAAACAAAAGCAGAGAATTACCTCATGTCACTTTCCTTACTTATATAAAAATATTTTATCTCTCCAATAGGTTGTTTGGCTTTTACAAGGGAATTATCCCACCCATTTTAGCTGAAACACCAAAAAGAGCAGTCAAGGTAAGTACTGTATGCTTTCCCTCCAAATGTAAACAGAGTTCGATGACAGTTTCAGTATCAAGGCACTCATAGTAATCAAAGGAAGGCTTAATTCACTTCCCTTAATTCACATCACTTAACTTAAACACTAAAAACTTTAATGCAGAAATTGTAGGATAATGCTTATTGTAATTAGACTTGGTCAGTCTCTCAAATATACATATTTTGTTTGAAGGGTTTTTTTTTTCAGGCAAAGGTGTAATGAAGAACATATACACAAACACACACACACACACACACACACACACGGTGTCTAAAACTCATATATTTAAATCACAAATCCACAAAAATGCTTGGACCTTTTCTCAAGCAATTCAGAGATGTCACTTTGGAGCATTGAATACTAAAAATAAAAAGTAGAAAATCCTGAAATAATTTCTGTCTTATGAAATAGACTATTTATTTGTGTATGATTGTCAAATCATATTTTTAACAAGTCAACTTTATTTCTCCCTTTAATATCTTCTGTTAAAATTCTCTTTTGTTGCCTACAAATTATTGCTGCCATTTCTTTAATGTATAGCTCTGGAGATTGGTGTGCTATTTGCTGGTGTTCAGTGGATGACTGTGAATGTGTGCCAGACCCTTGAAGGATAAAAGACCTGCACACTGTTTCCCATGTGTTCTTCCAGGGGAAAATCCTAATTGCAGTAGCTCTAACTGGCACGGCCCTCCCACCCACCCCCATCACTGACATCACCAAATGCAGCTTTGTCATTCTCTATAAATAACCTAAGAATAGATGTAAAGACTTCCTTTCCAACTCTATGCCATTTATTTTAATGACATAAAGCTTTTCCACGTACTCCATTTTTATCCACAATATTCTTGAAAAGCAAGAAGGTACAGCTTACATGCTGTTCCTGAATAAAGGAAGGGGTTGACTGGGTTGAGAAACAGGATGAACTAACCAACGTATATACACAGACATCAAACTTTTGCATTATGTCAAATAGTAACATAATAGAATTTAAACCCAGCTCTCAAATTCAGAGAAGAAAGCTTCCGAGCGAGCACACTCTCCTTATAATCGTGCTGTCTTTGTTGCCCTGTTTTTTTTTTTTTTTTTTTTTTTTTGTGCTTTCCTCATATTATTGCTTCAACACAAATTTCATTACGAGAATCTGAATTGCAGTCGAGGATCTGGAAAAAGTTCACCAAAGTACACAAAAGAGCTGAATTGAATTATGGAACGGCTTCACTTGATAAAAGATTGCCCAAGTAAACAAACAGAACAGAGTTCCTGTTCAAAAGGAAAGTCACTTTGTCTCCCTGGAATAATATATTCATTTGTTCAGTGTTTTCCATGTATAAATAAAGTGAATTGTAATTAGCCTTCTTCCTGTAGCCACTTCCCTTAACGCTATATATTGGAGACAATTTACACTCTAAGAGGATTAAGTTTTATCAATGTTGAACAATCTTTTACAAAAAGAGAAAAAAAGAAAACCTTGAGCTTTATAAAACTGAGTTAGTCTCTGAAAAAAAGCCATGAAGCAGTACTCTGTGCCAGAGCAATGGTTAACAGATGAACTGCTGGGCAACAGGATCTGGTGGACGCGTCCCAGACATCTTGTAGCAAGTAGATTTTACCTTAAAATTATTGAGACATATGGTAAGTACGTTGGCTTTTTAAGTAGAAGTTGTAGTTAAATGTATCTTTGCCAGATGGACAACACAAGTTTTTCAACATAACTTATGAAAATATTCATTTTATAGATATTTATCCTAGGATTTGTGAGGAGAGCAACCACCTTATTGTAACCATTTCATACCTCATGAACTATTTCATTGTGTGTCATAGAAGTTTATCTCAAAATAAAATATTAAAAAAATTAATAAAATATTAAAAAATATACCATGCATGTATGTCTTCCTTGGGATGATCACTTAGTGACAATTGTCACTGTAATCAGAAACTGGCAACTTTATGCTTGTCTATATTTTATTGTTTGAAATGAGGTTTGTCATTAAAGGAGTAAGGCTTGTAAATAAATTTCTCTTTTCAAAAATTAAGACAGAATCAAGCTGCAATCAATGAAAGGAAGGGAAGACTTGAGCAGAGGCACTGGGAGATGGGAGACAGCATGTTCTGGCTTCTGTTTCTAGGATCTTCTATTCAGCATCCCAAGGCCAGAAATGCAACATACAATTGTCTTCTGTATTCACATAAGTAAACATAAGACATAGGAACTAAATTTTTTTTCATAAGCCTTGTGCCAGGGAATCCAACTCAAATTCTATTATTTCATAGCAACTCTAATAGCTAAATTTATGATTGGTCAGGTGAAGCAATGTTCTCATGCTTTAACGACAGTGAGGTGGCATGGCCAGGCTTCAGATTTCATACCGATCACTTCGACATCCGGGCAAAGTGATTGTCTACACACAATGATGGTGATGGTGCTCATAAAAAAAAGAACCAAATGTTCTTTAAAGGCTAATATTATAGCCACATGGGTAGCTCACACCTATAATCCCAACACTCAAAAGGCTGAGGAAGACAGGTTGGCTTGTGGTCCAGTCCAACATACACTACAACGGTGAGTTCTAGGCTAGCTTGGATTACATAATGAGACTTTGTCTCAAACAAACAAACAAACAAACAAACAAACCAAATCCCTAAGAGTACTTTTATTTTTCCTTTCAGAATGAATTCTAGGGTTTCTAATGTTCTCTTATCAAAACAGCCCTGTGTGGGATCAGGAAAGCACAAATATGTGCTAATTTTACCGTATTTCTAGTACCTGGAGTGGAAGGATCTAGTAAACATTTAGGAATTGCATGAATAAAGCCCTTGTTCTTCGAAAGTGTATATGCATGCATACTTCATCTAAGGTATTATGGCAGTGATCTCGTTCTTTAAAAGAATAAGAGTCAATCTGCTGGTAAATGACTTGGGTTACCCAAGGACTCCAGAGATCATGTACCTAGGAAACCACCTCTTTCTAACAATACACTGTAACTAGTCCCCAAACTTCATTATTTTCTTTTCCTCACCCTGTTTTACTAGGCTGTAAAGAAATAGCATGATTTATCATCCCATTTCTTAGGGGTTTTTTTTTTTTTTGTATGTCTGCTAAGTCCTTGAGCCTGATTTGCCAGATTTAATACATCCGTGTGCCCTCATAGTTCCAGTTATCCCCTATTCAACTTACAGTGAGTTCTTAAGAATCAGATGCTGCAGGCCCTAAGAATACACCTTACTATCATTGATGTTGGTGTTAACTCAGTTCAGTGCTCAGGGACAAAATACCCTTCCCAAGCAGAGTTCTCTCCCAAACTATAGAGTACAAGGAAAGAAATCAGAGAAATATATCAGAGGAAGGAATTATTTCATTTTGCCATGAAAAAAGAATGTGTTTGTACAAATCAGTACCATCTTCTGAAGGCACCAATGGCGTCATTCCATTAATGACCCCTCTTCACTATCATGTTCTTCAGATCCTAACAGAAGGAATAAGATGGAGGACAGTCTTTCATTGAGGCAAGGGGGTAGAGGTAGACCAGATAGATAAACTTGATGAGTCCTTTCCTAGTTTATCATAGCATCTTTGCAATTACTCAATGTCTAAAAATTCCATGGAGCTGTCAGGAAAACAAGCATTATGGATGTAAGTTAAGGCTTCGAAGTAGACGTCTTCTACAAATGTGTTAGAAAACGGGGCATTTTCTTGGAAAGTGGTTCATCAAGAATGCATACAAGACCAAGGATTTCAGGTCTGTGACCCTGTAATTCTGAATCACTACCATAAGAAAGAAGTCTATTGATGTCTGGGGAGACTGAAAATGGTCATGGTGAATGGAGGTTGTATGGTTCATTTACTGCTATAAGGGATTCCATCAGATTTTCTGTAAGTTATTATAACTACATTTGAAAAATGTGAATGTTAAAATGGGATCTAACAGTACCTGCCCCAGACAGGATTAAAAGCTGTGTTAGATGGTTCATCATTTTAAAATACTGATTAATGTAATGATTTACTGAGGGACTTTCAGCCAATTAGAGAGTTTGTTGCAAGAAATTGTTATAAATCTCTAGGTTTGGTTTTGTTTCACAGTTTTCTACCTTTGAGCTATACAAGAAATTTCTGGGATATATGTCACTATCACCATGGCTGGTAAGTGAGAATATTTATTATACTTAAATGTGTATGTTATTTCATAAAGCAAAATCCAGAAACAAAAACCCCTTTGATTCCCAAATCCCAGCTACTAAAATATGAATTTGAGTTATTCAATGTTCAGCTACTTGTTGAAAGCCATCTTCATAATAACTCACAATCTGGCTATTTTATGGCTCTCAGTGATGAATTTACAATAATAACGATACGTCTGGAAAGGCCTCTATGAGATATGGTCAAGAACATAAAATAAAGACTACATTCACCCTTGGAAACCAAAACATGCATTTGTTTACTTACATACTGCATGTATCTATTTATGCAAAAGTCAATATGCCTGAGATTATTTCCTAACAGGTCAGTTTCCCAGCTGTTGCAAAAGCTGTGGTAAATATAGGACTTCACATCACTTGGGATAAAATCACTCTGTGGTCAGAGGGAGACTGAAGGGCCTTTTATTGGAACGACTGTAAACAGTTCAGCCGGGGAGAATAGCGATCCTACAATGACACAGCTCAGGTATTTCACAAGGCTCACTCGGTGACAGGCCATTGCCATGTGCCATTGCTCCCTGCTTGGTGACTTTGCTCCCCTTCAGAAAGCCTGTTAAATTATGTTGACCAAATGTGTGTGCACTGAGAGCCCGAGAGCAAGCAACTTCATGAGCCTGAACCTGCACAGAAACCATGATGCAGCATATAATCCCTCTATACGGCAATGAACCTCCCAGCCTCTGGGAAAAGCCCTATATGCTTGTTAAAAGCTCAAAATTCCAATGGAAATGGAACGTTCTTGCGTCCAGCTCTTTAATTATAGGTGTGTTTCCATGTATGGTGGAGTTGCAGCTGATAAAACCACTGTCCAAAAAGCACTGGGTACATCCAACCCACCAAGCACCACAGCTAAGCAGCAGAATACAAGTGTTGGTTGCTTACTTTCCTGACGGGACAGCCAGCTGAGGATTGCAGTATACTTCTGCTACCCAGTATCACGAGCGCTGATGGCCTGGGAAAAGATCAAAATCTAAAGTGTGGACTGTGTTTTATTTTTGCACCATCATAAACAACAATGACGACAACAATAATAATGTATGTCAAGCTACTGTGTATCAGGGACCATATAGCCTTTTCTCATGAAGTTTGCTTCTGAATGTTTACTCTAACAAACAGACTGTCAAAGAAGTATTTATTATCCTCAAAATTCTTACAAAAGTTCTTACCTAGACAAAAGCCTCCAATCCAGCCTCCTGACTAAATGGCACAGCTTCGAAGCATGCTCTCCTATGAGGAGCTGTTACTCAGCCAACCTCAAATGGATACGATTTTGTTTTAAATTCCTAGCTTGGAGTGGTGCCTCATACCTTAAATCCCAGCATTCAGAAGGCAGAGGCAGAAAATGGATCTCCATAAGTACAAGGCTAACCTGGTCTACATAGTGAATTCTAGAACAACTAGAAATAGATGGTGAAACCCTGTCTCAAAAAGAAATATGCATGTGTGTATGTATGTATGTATGTATGTATGTATGTATGTATGTATTATGTATATATGTATATATATACATATATATGTGTGTATTATGTATATGCATGAATAGCTTTGTAAATGTGTGCATATATATGTATAATTTTTCACAATATCTTTCCTAAAGTCATTCTTAATTCTAGAGACATCTTGAGGAAAAAGGAGATGAAAGACGTCCCAGTGAGAGTAAATAAAATAGTCTCTGGAGGCCTAGCTGACTGTTTCAGAGCTGAACTTGGAACCATGTGAGACACTGCAGGTCTTTTTCACTCAAAATTTGAAATGGAAAAGTATTTGGCTATTCCATCTACTATAAATGAACTCATGTAAACCATCTCTGGCCCTCTTCTCTTCTTGAACTCGTTCACTCTTGATTCTTGTTTGATACAGTGAGGCATTTAGCCATTAAATATGCCCTGGTGCTCACATGAAAGCCAGGGAGACCGGAAACCTGACAGCAAAAGCATGTCTCTGCAACCATCTAAGTAACATGATCTGCTGATATCTGACCAATTCTTTTGACAAGGGACCACTGAACACTACTTCTGACAGCAAATATAGCTGAGCTTTGTACAAACGTGAATTGCTTAGAAGATTTCATGTAGTTAGTAATAAAACCCTGACATCTGGGTTTTAACTTTCCCAGTCTCTGCTTTTTGGACTCCATGATGAAAGTCTGAGATAAATGAGAAAATATATGGTCATTTACCCTATACAAATTATGTTTAAGATTTTAATGAAGTGGGATATATGGAAAACATCATTAGTATTCCTACCATCCTAGAATCTGTGTACAAGTCCATTCTTCCTCTTTCCCATGGGAAACCAGAGCAGCCACGTGATGTAAAAGAACTTCCATGCATGACTTTGATTCCTGTGGCGAAACCAGAGTTACAGTCTGTATTTTACAGTTGAGGGGATGAGAGTGTCCAGAGTTCTGTGACTGGCCTGCAGCTCCAGCAGCACCGATAGCACCTGTGTGAAACTGTTCCCCTGACCACTGTCTCTGTGGCTCTCACTTTTAGGTGTAGACTGGATTTTAGCTTCCCCATCTCCCTGGCCCTCAACCAACCCCACCTCCACTTTAAAGATAGAGAACATTTATTACCCCTATCTTTCTTCCTGTCACTTATTTTGAAATTATTAGAAACACTAATAAGAATAAGAAGCATGTGAAGCCAGGCCTGGCAGGCATGGCACATGTTTGTAATACTAGGTTTTGGAAGGCTAAGGCAGGAGTATCACTATGAGAGTTCAAGGACAACCTGGACTCTAAAGGCCTTGTCTCAAAAACTGAAAGCAATGAATGAATCAGATAGAAGATCTCCATTTCTCCTGGGTTTTTATTCCTCTCCTATTTGGACACAAAACTGAGCTTTCTGGAATTAGTTTAGTAGCAAGGAATTTTGGAGGGTAAAGGATTCTCTCTCTCTCTCTCTCTCGCTCTCTCTCGCTCTCTCACTCTCTCATGTGTGTGTATGAGTGTGTGTGAATGTGTGTGTATTAATTATTGTTGTGCTTATTTCTAATGTACATTTTCTAGAAAACTTTTAGGTTCTCTGTGTAGAAGAATATTATATGAAATTGTTATTTTCTATTGCTAAAATTCTTTTTTTTTTTTTTTAAAGATGGTGTCCCTTTATATAGTCTTTGGCTGTCCTAGAACTTGCTATGTAGAACCAGGCTAGCATCATACTCAGAGATCTGCCCTCCTCTGCCTCCTGAGTGTTGGGATTAGGCCTCGACTGCTAAAATTCAACCCATGAACAAAAGGAATCTGACATGTAACCATCCTTTGGTAAATGTTCTGAGTTTTAGTGGTGCCCCTCCAGAACAACCCAACCATTTTTAATCACAGCTTTTATTACTTTATTACTCGGCGTTTAGGTAGGAAAACAGAGTAATCACTCCTTTAAAAGCAAAGACGAGCTGGGGTGTAACTCAGTGTAGAGCTTTGCCTACTGTGTAAAAGGACCTGACTGTGATCCTCACGGGTGAGAATAAAAACAAAATAAAATAGAGACTGAATGAAAATAATTTTGTTTGTTAATAGTCTTGAGCAATAGTTCTAAGAGCGTTATTCATTTAGATGGTTCCAGTTATATACCTGGAAGGTGGCTTCTTACAAACCTTTTATTTGTGATTCAGTTCAATAAATGCATCTAAGCAGATATTTACAAATGGAGCTCTCCCTTTACAATTTAAACTCATTGTACACATGAAGATGTTTTAGGATCCACCTTTAACCAGTCAAACAGCCTCCACTTTTGTTAAAGGAAAACGTCATCATTGATGGGGCTTTGACATTTTATTTTGAAAACATTAGGATGTGGTTTGTGGCTTCTGTAATTTCTTCTCCATGAATTGTCAGCATCTAATCAAGAATTCAAGCTGTTTAGTAACGGTAGATGGCACACGTGGGGGGTTTCTTCCTTCTCGTCCTACTGTGTTGCATAATGATAGAATGTTTAATCCAACAGGCCTGAGCAGTTGTTTTAAAACATTGGTTGACTTATTTTCCTAGACGTTTCCCATTGCTGGATTAGGATCTGGACTAACAGAAGCCGTCGTGGTTAACCCTTTCGAGGTGGTAAAAGTTGGTTTGCAGGTCAATAGGAACATGTTCACAGAGGTAACCATTTAATGTTTTCCTACTCTTAAGGGAATATAAAAAAAGGGTGTGTGTGTGTGTATGTGTACCTACATAAAATTATGAACCCAGACCATATGCACTTATAAAACCACAGAAAAACATTCTTTAAGACGTAGAATAAGAAAAAGTTAGATATCTTCCACAAAGTGTCAAAGAAGCACTAAGATGCGATAGACAAGCGTATACATTTTTATTTCAGAGTGTTAATGAAAGTTACAGTGACTTGCTAGAATTTTACCCTAAATTTTCTTTCACAAGACATGCATGAGAAGAAGCTGTAGCAAACTCACTGAGGTGCTAGCACTATTGTGCTTTTAGAAAGATGAAGTCATTTTTTTTTAAATTACCTCACTCCTTTCCCCACCCCACCCATCACCCTCCCCAAAAGTTTCTGATAGTCTGTCAAAGCTGTCTTCGGGTTAAACCTGAATGAGCAAGTGTTGAAGCCTGCACAGACGTCACACTTGCACAACGATGGGTCTTGACATCTAGTCACTGACACACAGTGCTCCACGTAGACAGCTTCTCTTGTGTGTGCTGCCTGGACTTCCCTCTCGTTACCTAATAATTCCCTTCACACTGCCAAACCTGACCGTTCCTGCTGTATTCTTTTGGATTCTAAACACAAAGCAAGGGGGGGGGGGAACAAGCGGATTAACATTCCAGGTCCCTTTCTAGCATTTTAAGTCCATAAGTGGGTAGCATGTGGTATAAATTGGTCTGAGGTATCTGCTGATTTGGATTTTTCTACAGAAAAAAAATTATATATATATATATATCTCCCTGCCTACTACTTAAGCAGCTGGTAATGGGTGGAGACCCCTCATCCCCAGCCCACTTCCTGCCTGCTGATAATGCCCGAGAATTCCCTGACAGCCTCTTTGGCAGGGAGGTTGGGAGAAAGGGGGCCCTGCTCACCTGTTTCTGCCAAGACCTGCAGTAGGAGAGATTGGGGAAGGGTAGGGCTGTTGTACCAGATGGTATCTACTCAGATGAACTTGACCTAATCCAAAAAGTTATGTTTTGTTTTTTAGGTTTGAGGGGGTTTTTGTTTTTTGTTTCTTTGTTTGTTTTTTGCTTTTTTTTTTGTTTTTAGTTTCAATTGTTCTCTGAAAATCAGAAAGGGCTGAACATCTGAAATGTAAATAAAATATCCAATTTTTAAAAATCACACACAAAAAAGAAAGGGCTGAAAAACTCTCAGTATAGCCCTAGGTTTTTGTTTATGTTCTCTTTTCCAGTCCTTCTAGCTTAAGAGAAAATAGAAGTGAAGCTTAGGAATAGAAAAGAAGGGGGATGCTGTTCAAACGCCCCCACCAACATGCAGCATCTAAACCAATTCCCACAGAATCTGCCCAAGACAAACTAGTTTATTTGAGTAGGGAAATGACCCGGAAGAGGAAAATTTTGGAGGTCACTACTCAGTGCTTCATTTTGCCCATGAGGAAGCAACAGGAGCCAAGGAACAAACAGGTTTTCAGCTGGAGGTCTTTGTCCAGGCAACATGTGACACAGAAACAAAAGTGGGGAAGAGCACTGAGGAACACTCACTAGAATAAAAACAGGGAGTGTGTTTATTCCTAATGCTCTTTCTGCCCCTCTGCCTCCCAAGGAGAGTCTGCCCTGAGCCCAGATAAGAACTCATGCTGCATCCACCAGTCCTTTGCTAGAGCGTGGCAAGCATCACACCTGTGCACCACGAGCATGTGAGCACAGTCCAGGTCCTTTTGTGAAATCTGTATAGACTGCTAGTGAATTTCAAGCATATTTCAACTGAGGGATAGAGGGACCTTACTCAGAGTCATTTTTGCAGAATTCACCGAACTGAACTTTGCCTCATATTTTACTTAGGATAAAATTTATTTGCTGCGTTAAAAAATATTTCGTAAATATCGACAAATCAGAATTTAACAAAATGATCATCATATAGATGCTGTAGATCAGCATTTACTCACAGTAACTTGGAATCCTGTGGCTGAGCTCAGGATGTGGTATTTTCTAGGCAGTATAACAAACTGAAAAAGTACTTAGCACTGAGTGGTAACCAAGCATGTAATAAGCCATCAACTGCCCATAGGTCCTCAGCTAGAGGTGGGGAAACATAAACCTCCTCCTACCCCATGCTAGAACGTTAACTGGTTTGAGCTTGTTCAGGTATCTTGCGGGCAGCCACAACTGCTGTGAGTTCAGGGATGCGATAGTCCTGTTAATGTCTAGAAGACAGCTTTGTGACTATCCTCCCAAACCTCTGGCTCTTACAATCCTTCTGTCCTGTCTTCCACGATTGCCTCTGAGGCTTGAGAGTGGGTGGAATATAGATGCCATTATCCTAGCTGAGCCGTCTACGGGGAATTATGCTCTGAGCTTCTACCAACCATGAATTTCATTAACCAGGGTTTATGCGATTTCTCTCTTGAAGTCTGAGAGCTACATTCTACAAGTGGTAGTAGACGCACCCATTGGGCCTGTGAGCTCCCCAATCATGGTGCCATGGGAGATTTAAAGTGGCAGGCGTGGGTTTCCTCCTGCAGCATAGGCCTTAAATCCAACGAGAAAGTACTTACTTAGCTATCCCCATAATGCTTAGACCACTATATTTTTAGAACATTTATTGGCAAGTTGTGGCTTTTTAAAGACACTGCTCATTCCACCATCCTGGTTACTGACTGGCAGATATTTAATTTTCATAAATTTTCTTACATCCTAGATATCACCCTGTATGAACTATAGCTAGAGAAGATTTTTCTCCTATTCTTTAGGCTGCCTGATCTCTGCTGATAGTTTTCATTTACTATGCAGAAACCTCTAGTTTCATGTGTTCTCATCCACTGATTCTCAGAACTACTTTTATAGTTTCATGCAGGAGAGTTTTTTGCAGAAAGTTATTGAATGTACATACACATATTCAAGGGTATTCCATGTATTTTCCTATAGAAGTTGCAGAGTTTAACGTTTTAAATTAAGCTCTTTTGTTTTTAACATCTTTGTTTTATTCTGTGTACAGATGCTCTGCCTGCATGAGTCTCTCTGCACCACAGGCATGATTGCTGCTGTCAAAGTCTGATACCATTTATTGATGTGCTGTCTTTTTTTTCCCTTGGGTCTTTGGCCCTAGCTTTATGGGTTTATCTCTTGTTCATCTATTCTGTTGTTCTACCTATCTGATTTTTTTTATTGACACCATGCTTATTTGTCACTATACTTCTATAGTATATTTTGAGGAATATCCACTATTGATATCCGTATCCACTGTTGGTGAAAGTATAACCAAGTTCAACCACTATAGAAATCAGTATGGCAGATCCTCAAAGAATTAAAAATAGAGTTACCATGTGACCCTGTACACCACGTGTAAAAGACTGTACAACCCAGCACGGACACAGTTGCACAACCATGTTTGTCGAAAGCACTATTCACAATAGCCAGGGAAAGGAACCAACCTAGATAACACCAAGGGAAGTACACGTATGTAAATGTGGCATGTGTGCGCAATGAGATTTTTACTTAGTCTATAAAGAAAACCAAAATTATGAAATTTTCAGCAAAATGAATGGATTTAGAGAGAATCATTATTAAGTGAGGTGACCCAGTCTCAAAAACGAAAAGCTCATGGATTTTTTCTCTTACATAAATCCTAAAATCTAACACATACGAATAGAGGTATAAACTAGAAACAAGGTGGGAGACCACAAGAGCGGAAGGAAATGTTTTGATGGGGAGGAAAAGGAGTTTCATGTGACATGAAAGTGCCAAGAAGTCGACCGAGGCTGGGAAAACACAAAGAGGGGAGGGAGCGGATAAAGGGCAGAAAGAGACAAAGACAAATTTTGTTTTAAAAAAAAAATAATGAAATTAAAAAATTTGAGTGGAGGTATTTGAGAACAAGGTAAAAAACCTAGTGCAGCGGAAACTCCATGACATCTGTGAGAGTAACCTTAGCTAAGACTCTGTAATGAAGGACATGGAACCTGAACCCACCATCCTCTGGGAATAACTGACTAAACCAGGCAAAGCCTTAAGTGGAGGGATTGGGATACCAATGCACCCACAAAACCTTAGACTTTCAGTTTGTCCTGCCTTCAGAGTGTTCTGGGACTGGAGCCAGGCATACTCATCATCAGAGAGATCAGAGAGTCTCCACACAGCAACTGGTGGGAGCAGACAGAGTTCCAGAGCTAAACATTAGGCAGAGTTCAGGGGATCTTGCTGAGGAGGCAAGGAAGGATCATCAGAGAAACCCGATGGGTCAGAAACACCACAAGCATATAGCTCACAGAACCAACTAACCAGGACTAATGGGATCTGGCAGAGTCTGTAAGGGTCTGACCTAGGTCCTCGGCATATATGTTATGGCTCAGTAGCTTGGGGGAATTCCTAACAGGGAGTGCGAGAACTGTCTCTGTCCTTTTGTCTGCTTGTGGGACCCTGTTCCTCCTACAGGGTTGCCCTGTCCAGCCTTGAGGTAATGGCATATGCCTGGTCTGACTATAGCTTGTTATGTTGTATGTGTTTGATGTCCTTGGGAGACCTGCTTTTTTCTGTGGGGAGGTAGAGGCAGAGTGAATCTGGGAGAGAGGGGAGGGACGGGAAACTGCAGGCAGGATGTAATCTATGAGAGAAGAATAAAATAAAAAATAAGATAAAAATAATAATGAAATCTAACTTTCTGTAACTGTGATGGTTTTAATAGGTATGGCCCCCATAGACTTATGTGTTTGAATGCTTGGCCCATAGGGAATAGCACTATTAGGAGGTGTGGCCTTGTTGAATAGATGTGGTTTTGTTGGAGTAGGTGTGGTTTTGTTGGAGTGGGTGTGGTCTTGTTGGAGTGGGTGTGGTCTTGTTGGAGTGGGTGTGGTCTTGTTGGAAGAAGTGTGTCACTATGGGGTCAGCTTTGAGGTCTCCTACACTCAAGCTCCACCCACTGTAGAATCCAGTCTCCTTCTTTCTGCCTGTGGATCAAGATGTAGAACTCTAGG